CGACTTCTCTGAGAGTACGAATGGAAGCTAGATTTACAACACATTTCAAAGGTATTGTTTAGCACCAAAGCTCAACTGTTTGCTTCTGAGTTCCGTTACGCTTAAAAGGTATCACTTCGCCATATTTTATATATCGCTGGTATCATTATTGGGGATGTGGTGGGAATTCGCAAAAATCCGACCAAGGGACACAGTGGCAAAGAGCTCCCAATCGTCACTTTTGCGGGGAAGGGAGTGGGAGTTTCTATGAGTTTTTTGATTTAAGGGATATTTTTCAAAGTAAAGAGCTTGGGTAGAAGTACTAGAGTGACGCAGGGTTAATTGTAGTTTTCGTCTTCAGCTGTAAAAAATGATAGGGAGAAATGTTTTTGTATTGAATCCTTTGAGTAGCAGTTGTCTGCACCACGACACGAGCACAGTCCAGATCCCAAGCGTCACCGATGTTTATTCCTGAAGTTCAGAATGAGAACAGCGTATTCTACCTATTTCGAAGTACAAGAATTACAGAACACGTTCAACACTTACCTTAGCGTTCACACTTGTCAATGGTCCGGTCGGCGTTAGCTGCCGTATGCAAGAGGAGAAGCGATATTGGTTTAGAATCTGCCTGGTCGGCTTTCCCTTTTGAAGGCAATGGGCACGATATATCCCCAGGGCATGTAAGATGAACACGCCGGTCACCGAAGAGTTCCTCCGCGCCCCTGAGAAAGCCTTGTATGATGTCTTTTCCATCGACAAGCGGACTCTAAACGTCCTAGCAAGGCTAAGCACATCAATCCGTACTCCCTCCAATAAAGACGCGCCCAAATGGCCGCACCGATCGCCAACTGATCACGATCGGTCAGCTGTTTTTGTTCGCAGTATGCGGCTAAATGGCACTTTTTCTCCTTCTTCGGGTTCCGTCTGGAGAGTTAGGTTCTTATTGCTGATACATATTTTTCTTTAGCAGGAGGTGTGGTTTTGCCGCAAGCGGTGCTCTTTTCAGAGTTTTCAATTTTTTTGAAATTTTTTTGACTTTTTTCACTTGAATCCCACATCCCCGACAGCGTAACGAGATAATGTTCAATAGTGTATCCCTTTCCTGTTGAGACCCCGTGACCCGTATGCTGTGAGGTTATGTTCTTGGAAATAATGTGTGTTCCAATATTTCCTGTGCAATCTCTCGCATTTTGCGCAATCTGATCTTTGACGGCGTGATTATCTCATCGCAGAGTCACGTGACTTTCGCATTATAACTGTGATATGGAAAGCGTTATTTTTGGGCGTGTTGAGCCGTTTCATCCCGTTTTTGCTATTGCTATCTACTAAAAAGTGCACCTTCCCCGGTTGTTTGCAGTGAACCAAATCAGCTACCATGTCCTTTAAAGAAACCTTGAAACCTGCGCTGTGCGTCCGCCCAATTTCAATGTGCGCTAAAACTATTCATTGATAATCCTCATTTTTATTAGAAATTGATGTTTCATCACAAGAAAGAATGAAATCCTCTCTTACTGGGCTAAATTGCTTGGGTTCGGTCCCAGATGACATGTGCCACATACAAAACCTTAGCACGTAATCGCACGCTTCCAATAGAACGTACACGTAGGAAAAGAGCCTACTGAATGCTCATAGTGAACTTATCCACATTGCTGACTGGTATAATACTTGCATAATTGCTATTTCAATAGCCACGACACGGAATATTTTGATATAATGCATACATTTCAAATTATACAGGAGGCATATATTGTTAACAGACACGGGCTTATAGAACCAAGCAAATAGAATTATCCACTGGATTGTCTCAATGAGCACTGCACTTTTCTTTGCGAGGAATACATAGAATTGTTTTAATATAACTTTATGGCAAACAGTTGCAGCATGAACGAGTTCTCACGTGTTCAAGATTCAAGATTCGTCACACTTCAATATATACAATAGCGTAGTATATTTCTCAGCGAAGCCAACGTGCGCGTGCAGTGGCTTGTATAGGTCTGAATTATCAGAGATTCGTTCGCAGTTATAGATACAGATCAAAACTTAATAGCCGACATTATTCGCACGCACAATGGTGTATGAGCTGGCACAGCCCATTCTGGGCTGGCCGCTGTATAAGACTGCTGTGTATGTTACGAGTTCTTGTTCATCGTCTGCTAGCGAAATAATGCTGCTCCACTTGAACTCTCTCTTCCTCCCAGTACGACCATAACCGGTAAACATATAATCCAACTGACAGAAGATACATTACTATAAATAATATTAGACGGAAGTGGAGTATAGCTCGCATATTTATTAACGACTACGAAAGAATACCCTCTTGCACCCATTACAATACACTGAAATTCAGCAAACATTACTGCTACATTGCTTCAGTGATACAAATGCCCATTCAGTTTTCTCTTCTTCTAGGAGCTCAAAAAATTATTAATACAACAGAAGTGGTTCAAGTGGCTAAAAAACCTAAGTCATACGTTAGCAGTCAACTGCTAAAGATTTACATTTGTACATGAAGAAACACATGCCGAGAGACGTCGGGCTGGAATCGTATCATTCGCTGTTGCAACGCCGTTCCAAATTCTATCCATCGCATTACGTGTTCTTCTGAACATCGAGAGTGGACCGTTTTTACGGATGAAACGTAATCTTTGCTCGGTAGGAATCTTTGACGAACCATTCTGAATAGCTACGGATTACTCAGAAATTAGTAGGATGCAAACAGTAGGATGATGTTTACTTTGGTCGTGTGCCATCGGTAAGAATTTTCGCTCAAGAGAAGAGAGGCTTTAGACGGAATAGTCGGCCTGATGAGTAGCCTATGTTAATTTTGTACGACTCTGTTTATCCTTAATAAATGTAGCTGTAATAGTGTCCAGTACATCATCCACATAGTAATAATATTGAGGCTAACTAAGCGAAATCGCGAAAAAAACAGGACAGGATAGCAAACGTTAGGATGCCTAGCACCACACAAGATTAGAATCAAAGCCGTCCGAACGATGTGGAGAGCTGTCCAGAACTCTCGAAAATGACATGATATTGAGAAACTGTGCTTCACTTTGCCGATTTCGTCTTTTGCCTTATGACACAAATACTCATTCAACAGTTGATTAATTTTGATAGCGAAACCCCGCATAAGCATTACTGTTCACCAATTATGAATGCGCCCTCTCTTACTATTACGGTCACGTGACATCATACGAACTTTTGCGAAACCATGCAACGCAGACAGGTAGAAATCAGTGGCTGTCAAAACATCGAAATGTTCAAGAAACATGTAGCTAGCCAGGATACGAGCCCTCACGGGCGGGAAAGACAACAGGGTGGATGAGCTATTTCTGGAAAGCCGGAGCGTGTGAGGTCACACTAACCACAGAATGCATAGATTGCACAATAGAAGGTACAGAAAGTGCAGAGAATGACGCATTCGAAGGGGATAGATGCAAGCTGTACGTGGATTTTAGCAATTCAAAGTTTCCCGCCACTCAGTCTGACATGTGAAATATTTTCCAGGGATTTTTGGACTCTTCTGTTGATACAGTTTACACCACCATGGCCTGCACACATCCTTACTGCCGTGATACTGCACTATTACTGTATAGAGAAAATCGAACTTGAGTACAGGTAAGTTCCACTGGTCCTTTTTTCACGGGCTCTCGAGCTCTGAACGGAAGGTAACGCAAGAGTAGCGGTAAACAACATATGTGATGCGATGGCTCCTACTTTTGTCTCCTACGACACAACAAAAGTTTGGTTTCGGGAGCTCAAAAACCTGCACCTTGATTTGAAGGACCAACCGCAGTTTGAGAACTCGCTCGCTGTGGATGAAGAGGGTCTTCTGGAGCGGTTCAAAAGGATCCCTGCTAGCACCAGTGACAGAGGAATTCTAGTGTAGTCACACCACCGCTGCTTCCCTTAGAGAAGACAGAGAAGAAAGACATGGAGATATGGCACATGGATACCGTATTAGGGACGAACTTGCATGTTCGCAGAAATGCATGCGTTAACTTCTTAATTTTCAGGTGGATTGTTTGTCCTAACAACGTGGTCATTGGTACGGAGAGTGAGTAGTATACGTTTACCACAAAAAGGTAATGCTCAGTGTTCGGTGGAACTGCAAAGTAAACACTTACTGGGAGTGTCTATCTGCAAACATTTTTGCCACTAGCGATCCCTACTAACGCAATCAGATTAGGCCGAAGCAGCCTTTTATAACGAGAAAGGATCTTCTTCTTTCGCCACAATGAACGTCCACACGTTGTGAAGGGGATCATAAAGCTCGAATGTTTGGTATGGCATATTAAAACCTGCCCCAGTATTCACCGGACCTGATTCTATTCGCAGGAAAAGCACTTTAACGACGGAGTAACTCGGAATGTGCTTCGATGACTTTCTTCCATCAGAACCCAAGGAAATTTGGAGAGGCATCCACAGGTTACTCAGTAAATGGCAATATGTTGCAGACAATAATTGTGTGCATGTTCGTTAGTTGCTAAATACACTGGAAGGCAGAAGTGAATTCGGAAGAATTGCAGATAAGGCGGGAATCTTTTGAACATTCTAGTAGTAGCGAGAAGTGTGATGAAATTCAGCCACGGTGAATACAAAAAGAGAAGTCCGGAATATTTTTCATTTGTAAAAAGAAACATGTTCTTCTGGACATGTACTTATTCTCCTGGACGTGTACATACTTTGGAACCGTACGCCAAATAAGTGAAACCGCAATTGGCACCCGGGCATCAATACTGACCTATCTCGTTTCCATGCGCTCTTAAGAGATGGAGCTGCACGGCTACCAACCCTTTTTGTCAATCGTGGGAAGAACTTGTTTGGAGATGAGTGTACAAATGCTCTTCAATCTTCCTTGAGCGTGGTACCGAGTAACTAGCACCGTAAAATGAAGACCCTCGTCTTGTGGCTGAGCAGAATTGTTAAGATAGTAAGTCGCTAAGGTTACCAATACTATTGCCGAACTCTTTTTTTATTAATTTTCCAGCAAACAAGAACTCAACATCTAAAGTCGTTTACCTGCTTGTGATAAGGGCGAGCAGCGGAGAAATACAGAAACGAAGCAGTACAAGAAGATTGAAGGCATGACCGTAAAAATCTTGGTCGCTTGGAGGATGGTGCCACAAGAATAGCACTATTGCCGTCATGGCAAAAATGGTGCCGAAATGAAGTATCATTGGCCCTTGTACTCTCATTGTTTTCATAGCGTCACCCTATAGAAAAACAGATGTACACAGATGTATGCACACCCGCGAATAAGATGTCGCTAAGAGATCAGAAGTTACGTACTCTATGAATAATAATTCCGAGTACAGCAACATAACAAACGAGACTGAGGATTATGACGGCTTCAGCAAAATAAAAATCCATAAGATATAGGAGCTCCGCGATAAATGAATGGCCTGAATCTCCTTATTGGAGCCTCGAGAATTGAGCAGAACAGAAACCATTTCTTGTAACAATTTGGGACAGCATACATGTAGCCCTCTGTGTAATTTTCTGGCAGAACTGAAATGCACAGTAAAATACTCACCAATAAATGTGAAGCCTGGAACCGTCGGTATCCATACACTACGTACTTCACCAGAAAAACATAGTGCACCGTTGAAAACGCCAAAGCACCAACATAGAGCCAGTAACGCCTGCAAAGATCTTATCAGGCAGATTTGGAGAAAACTTGTCTTCCCAGTAGTTTGACCTCTTTGCACGGATATCACGTTCTCTAATAACAAATATTTTTTGAACTGAAAGTGTCTGACGGACGTCCGTAACACAAGTTCCGGCGCTATGCGGCTGGCGTGGGAGTCCGCAAAGAAGGCAGACTTTCTCAAACCGCGCCAGTGCGATGTTCGTATTCAGGGGTCGAAACGCTCCTCTGGAAAAGTTTTTGACTAAATTTGTTGAAGCGTTCGGGCGCGGCACCGTGTTAAAGGTCACGCCGAGGAAGAAACTGTAGCCAGTTCACCTACGAAAATACGATCAAAGTTTGGCTGGATGTCTGAAAAGTGGGCTAATGCCTTCACGGAGAAATACGGTCTCAAGCAGCGAAGACTAGTTATTGGTTAGTTAGCGGTCTGGAGAAGGACATAGCCAATCGTGAACCTGACGTCCTCTTTATAATTTGTTTCCGTACAGCACTAGCTACCCCATATAAACAGACTTACATAAGAGAGTTTCAAGCTGCATATTCGATCCACTGAGTATGGAAGTCCCACGGCCAAAAAGCGATGAAAGGCCAGTATGAAAATTGGTGGGATATTCCGCAGCCCAGCTTCCTTGGAAGAATGCTCCATTAACCTGAACATAGAGCTCCATCAACGAACATAAGAATAGTACAGGAAGGAGAAACAATAATACAATCTGACGAGCATCTGCTAAATTCTAAGCTAATGGCGACTTCTGCTTTTCACTACCCGTTTGGAAAATCAAACGACTCAACGATTTGTCAATATTCTCAGCAGTGGACTGACTCTACCGTGGAAGAATAAATTATATTACTTCGCTGCTGAACAAGAATTTTTCTTGTTCTATACTCGTCATTTCAGAGTCTTTATAATAATAGGATTCCCTATGTGGGATGCGGCATGCATTCTATTTCCATTCAACCTCGCAGTAGCTTATTGAATGCGATGTACAATGACTTGCGAGGGCCAGCCCATATACAAGTCACTGTTTTATCCTCCCAGGCAAATCTGCTACGTTCACCTTCCGAGGGTAGAAGGCTTGGCTGACCTGGGACCCTGCTCGTGATAAGTGTGCCACATTTCACTGCACCTCTGTTTATTCTAAAAGCTATAACTCTCAATTCCCAAGTTTGGCTCAAAAATTGCGGTACTAACAAGGGAATGGTTTGAACTTCCCATGGAATTTTGAATGGTGACCTCTAGGTACATCGATAGTCTCGAATGCTGATTTACGAATATGCCAGCCATTAAAAGTGCTAGAGGGGACCTCCCAGACGGAGTTACTGAGCGATCAAAGTTCTGCGAAATAGCCGCGTATTTCTCTTGTAGCGCCTGCTGATCGCTCAGTGGCCCATGTGATCCACACCGCTGGCCTAGTGGGTAGTGGTCTCGCCTAAAGCCAAATTTCTAGTGCGGCTTTGGCATCCCGTTTGGCCGCTATGGGCAGCGAGTGCGGGGCGAGTGTGTGCTTAATAACCTGTTGCTCGTGCTCTATAAGAGCTCTATCTCTAATTTTCGAAATCTGCCTGCCGAGTTCAGCGGTTCCACAGAGAGAATGTGCGTTAGAAAAGTAGATTTAGATTAGATCTTATGATTTATTATCGTTATAACCACAAATAGAACACAAATAGGCTTGCTGACCGATGTTAGAACATGGAAAAAATCTTATAATAGTTAGAGTCGCAAAATAGGGGGGAGGGAGGGGGAGCGCGTAGGTGGCAAGCCTTGGCTGTGGAAGAGCAGCTGGCCCGCCAACGACTGCAAGTGCGGGAAGGATTCGGAGCGGCTCCGGATACCAGCTTAGTAGGTCCGTCAACACCACCAAGGTCCACCTCATTGGGAGGGGATCAGGCGAGAATTTTGAGGGATTACATAGCACGCCATGTATAGTACATAAAACAATCGTTTTCTAGCGACAAGCTAATAACGAACGAGATAAAGCTGAAGGATAAGTAATTATTACTATCGGTGAGCACATTTGTTGCGACTAAAACGAATATAACTGGAGGTTAGAAAATAGGCCAGTGATAAACGTGGAGAAAACAAGAGAAAGGAAGCCCAAGGACAGCTCACAAAGCAAAGGCAAGCCAACATATAGAAAAGCAACAACAGAACATGCAACAAAGAACACATAGAAACAAAATTTGCAAACTGTCCTTGAGCTTCAGCTTAGTAACCATAATCAGTGCAGCCACTGCTTGTAGCCTTACTTCAAGCCTTTTCTTTGAAAGCACTGAACGTACAGTGGAATAAACAACCTCGGTGCAGTACTTATTCCAGAGGAGAAACCCGGAGTAAACCTCCTTATAACTGCTCGAACGAGTTTTTTCTCTAAGTAACTTGAAACAGTGACCTCGCGTTACGCCCGTAGTTACAGATTTTCTAAAAAGTTGGTCGATATCAACATCGATTTCTCCCTTGAACAACTTAAATAAGGCGTCAAGATCCATAATTTTTCTCCGCATCTCAAGAGTTGTCGAGCCAAGAGAGGCAAGACGGTCTTCATAAGGGGAAGCCGTTGAAAAAGCGCCTGCCCTATGCAAATTATGATCTAGTATTGACGTACTCGATCTAAGTAAAGATTTTGATCCTATTCTGGTCCTCATCTTGAACTCATTACCATCCGACAATTCGAAGTTTATAGCCACCAGCGCCACCCTCCCTGGAAACGAATATCATATTCGCTTGGCGAGAAAACGCTTGTAACCTTTAACCGGTCAAAATACACCCAGGAACGAGTTTTTGGCCCAAGTTGTGATTGTGGCCAAAACTTTGAATTGTCGGATGGGTAATGAGTTCAGAGAGGACAGATAGCGATCAAATCCATACTTGGTCGAGTACGTCAATTATTGATCTACTTGATCTACTTGCTCTGCTGGGCCGTAAACTCGGAAGAATTTCTGAAAATTAGAGTGAAAGCTTTTATAGGAGACGAAGCAAAAGTTTTCACGCCAACGGGATGCAAACCCACGACATTACGGCTTTGAAGCGAGACCACTACCACTAGGCCACGGTGACACTGGCCAATGAGCGATCAGCAGCGCTTACGAGACAAAACCGGGATTTCGCAAACTTTGACCGCCCAGATCTCGTCTGGGAGGTCCCCGTAGCACTTTTAATCTGCATATTCGTAATCAGCATTCGAGGCTCTATCGATGTACCTAGGTCTCCATTCAAAGTTCCATGGGAAGTTCAAACCATCCTCGGAGACGCGCAAAATTGGCATGCATATCCTGCCAGATGAGGAGAATCTTCGCGAACGAGATTTTCAACTTAAGATCACCCGAATGCTTGCGGTGATATCAAGCTGCAAGTACGACATTATGGTGCCCAAACTTTTCAGGGCCGCTGTTGAGGACTCTAAGAACATTGGACAAATGGGGGTGAAAACCGACATACTTCCTCAGACTAGACGCTATAAATTAGTGAAAAAGTAGAATGCACTCTGCGAAGAGTTTAGAAAAACCGTTTCTCATCCGCAGTCCTCATTCAAGAAATTGTTTCCCCTTGAAGGGTTGAAGCTTCCTCGTGGTCACCGCCAGGATAGCTACACCTGGCAGCCGGAGCAGGTTCCGCTTCCAGATTAAGGATTAAGAGCTTCAATACATGTATGCATACAGGGAAAATTTCT